TTTTTTTCGTTTTTTTTCTGACTTTACGTGTTGGTTTTGTGTGATGACGTCGTCACCGGTTTCGTAGAGAGACCCGTCAGAGATGGCGTGGCTGACCCGGGTGCCATGGTTTTGTGCCTGATTGTGGAAGACCCCTTCAATGTGGCACGATTCGTAGCTAGCGTCGATATTTTTCACTGCAGTGCCTGACACAGACGATCGGGAGAGATTCGGGTGATTGTCAATTGCTGCTATGATGGCTTTGGTTGGTTGTTCTTTTTCACTGTACGGCCGCAGACACATTCTGACAGCACTTCAGACAGCAGCTTTGTGCCCCGCCAGCTGCTTGTTCCATGCCTACCATGGTGTTTTTGTATAGGCAGCACTTCAGACAGCAGTATGCTGTAGTCGGCAAGCTTCCGTTTTGGTATAGAGTGGGACAGGGACGGGGTGATGCTACTGTGGTCGAACGGTGGGTCGGACGTGCAGTTCAGTTTTTGGGCACGCATACGGTGCTGCAGGGATTTTTAGGTGTACCTCTTCGGGCTCTTGGATACCTTTTTCTCGTTATATGTGTGCGTGTTCTTTAGATCCTCAGATGGCTCTAGCACTTTCGTGACCACGGGCTGAGAGTCTTTGCTAGATTTTGGCATTTAGCAACTGACATACGGTTTAATGTGAAGACACCAACAACAACAACAACAACGACAACAACAACAACATACACAGTACGGACATGCGAAGGTACTAGGTAGAGAGAGATCGGAACGGTTTTCAATGTAAAGACAACAACATTACTGCATCCTCAGCCTTGCTCAAGATATTTTTTAGGGACAACGACACAACAGGGTATATACCCTGGTCGAAAAGCGATGGGTACACAGTCATGAACAGCAGTAAATACACTCGTATCATTGGTCAGCGCTCAAGTTCACCCTAGTGCGTCCGAAATGGCCCAGGGTATTTCCCGTGCCGTGACACTTGTCCCAACAACTGTACCCTGTTTTCGGAAATGTACCCTGACCTGACGGGAAATGAGACCCTTTCATCAATCATTTCCCCCGCAGGAATCTTCCCAACTGCTTTTCCCCTCCAACCATGGAATACCAAACGGCGAATCTTCCCGCCCAGAAACAACCGTGGCAACGGGGCAGAGTTCAGTTTCCGCCCCTGCGAAAAAAACAGCACCAACCATCGACTCTTCCGCTCTCAATCAACAATGGCCGGGCAATACCCAGCACAAATGATCCGTTTGGAAACATGCACACACGCGTACAATACCCCATGGACTACTGCTTGCTGCAGTCCATGTATGAGACGCACGCGTCACGCTATGCATATGAATGTGTGCGTGCGTGTGTTGTCTGTTGAGTCTCAATTGCGATGTGCCGTGTGTGCGTGCGTGTGTTGTCTGTTTTGTGTCTCAATCGCGATGTGTTCCTTGCTTGAGCTACTGCTGTAGCAGCAGCGGTCACGCTTACCAACCAACCAAGTCGACCAATCAATCAATGTAGCAAGACGACGCCAGGCTTCAGCGGGATGAGCCGATGAAATACAACGCGAGCACTCTCATTCTTGTCTCTACCGACAGGGAGGGTGACTGAGTTGACGACACAGCAGTATCCTGCTGCTAGAGTAAGGATAAGACTCGTGTGTGCGTGATTGATGTCAAGGGCGTGTCTGTGTGTGTTGGTCCTGCCCCTCCCCGCCGCCCTCTCTGCGGGCGCGAGCTCGCTGCCAGCATAGCGCCAAACATGGGAACATGCATATATATGCATGTCAAACATGCTGGATCGGTCTCGTTTTCATAGCGTGACCCGTGCGTCTCACAATATAGACTGCAGTAAGCAGTAGTCCATGGGGTATTGTACGCGTGTGTGCATGTTTCCAAACGGATCATTTATGCTGGGGTATTGCCCGGCCATTGTTGATTGAGAGCGGAAGAGTTGATGGTGCTGTTTCGCAGGGGCGGAAACTGATCCCTGCCCCGTTGCCATGGTTGTTTTGGGGCGGGAAGATTCGCCGTTTGGTATCCCATGGTTGGAGGGGGAAAGGAGTTGGGAAGATTCCTGCGGGGGAAATGATTGATGAAAGGGTCTCATTTCCCGTCAGGTCAGGGTACATTTCCGAAAACAGGGTACAGTTGTTGAGAAATGTAGTCACGGCAGGGTATACCCTAGGCCTTTTCGGGCGCACCAGGATGAAATTGGGCGCTGACCAATGATATGAGTGCATTTACTGCTGTTCATGACTGTGTACACAGGTGTGTCGCTTTTCGACCAGGGTATGCCGTGTTGTGTCGTTTTCCCTTGCTTGCGCATGGGAACGACAGCAGCAGCCGCGCATAAGCTAAGCTAACATAGCGATGGATTTAGAAAGAAATAAAGTGTGCAACGTCAAAACATAGAAACAACGTCGCCAAGCCCCTACAGTGTGTTGAGCGGAGCCTCAACGGTGATGGTGTGCCTCATGCGAGGCAATCTCTTCGTCGCGATCACGCTATTGAACACGACCATGACGAATACGTCCTCCGCATCGTCATCGTCTAGTTCTAATACATGCCCGGGCACAACNGTGTCGTTTTCCCTTGCTTGCGCATGGGAACGACAGCAGCAGCCGCGCATAAGCTAAGCTAACATAGCGATGGATTTAGAAAGAAATAAAGTGTGCAACGTCAAAACATAGAAACAACGTCGCCAAGCCCCTACAGTGTGTTGAGCGGAGCCTCAACGGTGATGGTGTGCCTCATGCGAGGCAATCTCTTCGTCGCGATCACGCTATTGAACACGACCATGACGAATACGTCCTCCGCATCGTCATCGTCTAGTTCTAATACATGCCCGGGCACAACGCTGGATGATTTGGCATCCGTTTGCCGTTTCAACGTATCCCACCGCGAGTGCCGCCGGGCTGGATACCCGGAGTTTAGCATGAATCTGGAGACCTTTCAGAAAAGTCATCCACGGGACGAACAAGTCGGGAGAGCCGTCGACGGGGG